CTTATCAGAACATAGTTTTAAGAGATGACTTTTGTCACTTTGGCCTGTCACAGTGCTGTGAAGATGCCCCTTCAGCAAAGGAGAAAAATCTCAATAGTTCCTGTGTGCAACAGCAGTTACTGTTAGGCTTAAAGAAAGTGTCAGGTGGGATATGCCCATGTTACATGTCTGTTCAGATCCAGAGCATAAGTAAATTGTGCTTAGCACCTACCACAGATGTGACAGCTGTCCTATATATTTGTTGGAGAGACATATGCACACACACACACGCACACACAGAAAATGTGCATGTATTCTGTATCACTTACTGTTCCCTGGTGTCCTGGGAGCTATTGCAGCATCCTGCCTAGCAGAGCGACGGACAGCAAGCAAGCAGCTTCCTGCTGGTTGGACTGCAGTAAAGTCCTGGAGAGTGACTTTAAAAATGGATCCAGCAGCCTGCCGTCAAATTTATCTGCACATGTGTTCAGCCCAAAAGAACTGGGATTGATAAGGAAATGATTTTTTACTGTGAGAGGGACTGAGCACCTGGAACAGGTTGCCCATAGAGGTTGTGGAGTCTCTGTGCTTGGAGATACTCAAAAGCCATCTGGATGTCGCCCTGGGCAGCCTGCTGTAGGTGATCCTGCGTGAGCGGGGAGGTTGGACAAGATGACCTCCAGAGATCCCTGCCAACCTCGACCATTCTGTCATTCTGTGAAAATAACTTTGTGCTGCTTTGGTGTGAAATTCCATGTGGCTGCTTTTGAGGGACTCACTTTAACTAAAAAGTTTCGAAGAAATTAATTGAATAAAGCTCAAAGTTTTATTTGAAAGTAGTTGTTGAAATAGATTCGCACAGAACAGCAAGTGGTGATTTGAGAAGAGGACTTTGTGTGTAGACAGCCTCAGAAGGACAAAGGCATTAGCAGAATTGACTGGGGTAATCGAAAAGCAGATCTGGTTTGTGTCTAGATCTGCATGACACACCTCTTGCTCCAGTGTGGGCAGGTAATTCTGCCATTTTATTTTTTTATTTGGTGTTTAGAGTTGTATTTTTTTACATCGATGAAGTGGTTTGCCTGAGTTTTATTTTCTTAAAGTCAAAAAGTTCAGGGATATTATTTCAGATGTAGTTTGAAAACACAGTATCCAGGCTTAACAGATGTTTATTTTAAAAAATGTGAACCTATCTGAACATTGCATATGTACGTCTGTTGATCCAAATCTGTTGGAGAAGTAGATGCACATCCTTCTCTGTGCTTCATATACAGAAAAATGATTTTGTGTTTATAAGTTACCGGGATGTAAAAGGCTCAGGAACCTCCCTGGCACATAAAGTGAAGTGCCACAAGTGCACAACCAGAACAGGCTGTGTTATAAATTATATTTATATTGATGTTACGTGACCTTTGTGGGGCCTTTACCCGGGTTGTGTTCATTGTATGTTAGGATCGTGTGTATCTGCTTCATTTCCATCGTTTTGTGCTGGAATTGAAAGGATTATTGACAACAATGATTATTGGTGGTTTTCTTACTTTGGGAATTGACTTCTCTTTTCTGTTGGAGCTACGTGATCCTGTAGTTTGTATACAATTAGCTTTTGCTGTGTTCGTTAGCTTGCGTTTGCTTCATCTCTTCAAACCATGTAAATTATCATTGGCAAACGGTGCACAGAAGTAACTCCCAGTAAGGCTGTTACGTTATGCTCTCTGTAATACATTAAGAGGAATGTGTGTGTAGATCCACAGGATCAAAAAGGAGGCCATGGGGCATTTAGGGTTTTGAGCAATGTATGAAAATGCTTTTGCAGGTCTCTTGATATGGTAAAAACTTTGGCTTTCTGAAATTTAACAATGAAGTATTCAGAATGTAAAATGTGTTTTTATCAAAACCGATGTGTTGATGAATTTAAATAAACTAATTACAGCATATCTTTTTTTTTTTTTTACCTTACAAATCTATTTACAGAGATCAGTGTTACAGATAGAAATCCATAATTTACTTGCTAATCTGTTCTCTTCTGGTTTGCTCACCAAGCTTGCTGTAAAAATATATTTATATATTCTAAGCTTGTACGTTAGTAGGTGCCATTTTCTGAATTTAAATGCATGTGTTGCATAAAATGCCTTTGGGCAGGAGAGGAGGGGGATATCTGTCTGGTTGACGTGGAACATAAGAAAAAATCTGAAGTATGCTAGAGCTAAATATACTGATAAGCATGCAGCTATGGGGGAAAATAAGTTAAAATGTATTGAGTCCAGTCTTATTAGCACATTAAATGCCTGCAGAACGGTCTTCCCCAGCCTTTTATTTCAGAAATAATCACCATTTTGCTGTGAAGACAACTCAGACCTTGTAGCATGTGCAAACAAAGGAAATATTTCTGTAGAGCCTTGTTACGCAGGGCGACGGTGGTTTGCTCTTTGTTCTGCCAGCTGTCTGCAGCACCCACGCAGAAAATGGGTGCTGGAATGTTTAAATAAACTTTAGATGCTGGAGCCCCGCAAACGTTTTGAACCGATTCTCCTTTTTTCAGAGTAAGTCTGAAGCAGATGTAAATGAGCACGGCTGGGCGTTTCGCCGTGGCTCGGGGTGTTACACCTTGGGGTGCGAGGCTGCGCGGCTTCCTTCGGATTAGTTCATCATCACAGGAGAAGGTGCGAGATTGTTGCAGGCTTAAGACTATGATCACTGCAGCAGGAGGCCCTTGCCGAAGGGGCAAGGTTGGCCTGTCTGTTTATCCCTCAGTTACTTCTGAGTTGGTGAGATCTGGTATGACAAGCTAGTGAGACAATCCTAGGAGGATTATCAGAAAGGTAACGTGTTTTCCTGTCGCTGTAATTAAGCTGGCAATGGAGTAGGATTCTTCAACTCATTTGTAGGCTGTGCATTTTAAAATTTCCTGGCAACATAGTTTAAAGTGAAGTGCTTCAGAGGCAGGAATATGATAATGTGAATACTGCTCAGACAAACGCAGCTTGCGTTCCGCTGGCTGCATACCTGGTGGGGCTGCCCGGTGTAAGGGGCAGCTGGAAGGAGCTGGGTTGGCAGGCGCTGGCTGTGTGCGGGGCAATGCTCAGGTACATGCAAAGACCCTCCATGGCTGCCAAGAGGGTGCTGGGGGTCCCAGGAGGTGCAGTGCAGGCTTCTCTTCTTGTGTGTGGTTATGTGTACTGAGCCTAGTGTTAATGGCAGAAGAGCTATCGGTGGTGGTGGCCAGGAAGAAGCGTTTGTCAGGGCAGCAGAAGACAGAGATTGGAACGGGAAGACTTGAGGTCCTGCTCCATCGGTACTGCCTGTGATCGAGGGCTGCATGCTGCCAGATGGATGCTGTGGAGACTGGAGTCTCTTCCAAGGCTGGTGCAGTTCTGAGGAAACTTGCCTTAAAAATAGCCTGGAACCTTTCATAGGGTCTTAGAAGACTGGACACCAACTCCTGTTGGCAGGGATGGGGCTTTGACAGGTAGTGCCTGTAGGTATGGGCACAGCTAGTGTAATTACATTTAATTCACTGGATTCACATCAACCGACTGCTTTCAGCACTGGATTTGACTCTAGGTAGCAATCGTTTGTAGATGTTTGGAGACTTCTTTATAGTAGTTTGGTTATTGGGTTTGGATGGTTTGCTTATTTTATTTTGTGATGGCTCTGACCTAGAGAGTTCTTTGTATGACCCAGGAAGGAGGTTTGGGAACAAGCCCATGGCTAAGCTCTCTAAAGAGCTTCTGTCTGTCCAAGTCATTTTTAGGTTCTTTCACTTATTTAGTAGTGTTCAAATATAAAATCAGAGAGAGCACTGAGGCTGGTTAGCAGCATCAGCAATACTAATCAAACGTAATTCAACTGACTGTCATGTGAGGGAAGGGAAGGTAGGGGGAGAAGGCGGCCAGTCACTTCCAAAAGAGCTCCTCTGAAACTCAGCTCTGCTCTAATCTGCCTTTCAAATCTGGCTTCTGCTGCCCTCATAGAATGAATCAACTTGACATTTTAGCATTTTTTTAAAAGAAAAAGGGTGAAGTGTTTAGAATGCACCAAAGGGGTGAAGCAGAGAACATCTGAAGAAGATCATCTTTACCTGATACCCTCTTTCTTCATGGCAGAGGAGCAAAAGTAGATTAGGTCTTTGTCCCTGCTTTTCACTTCATGAAGTTTTGTATTGTTCTAGTCAGGAAAGTTTTATTGCAGGAATTGCTGTGCATAGCTTTCATATCCAGTGTCTTAGATTATGAGATTTAACGGGAAGATGTGGTCTTTTGCCCTTCCTGCTACGTACTGTGTGTATCGTTTTCATTCTGGAAAAAATTCTCTTCTAAAGTAGACCAACAACAGGTTTTGAGTAGATGTGCAAATATGTACACATACCTTTACATAAGTATGTGCATATGTATGTATGTATGTATGTAGTATCAGGGTCAGATGTACAACAGAGATGTTTTCATTATGTCAGTCCAACTGCTGTAAATGTAGAGAACTTGGCAGAAGAGAGTTAAGCATATTTTCACAGAAAGTTGTAGAGGACAAAGAATCTTGACTTTTTTTCTTTCCAAGTCTCTTTTTAGTGTGGAACTGCTTTTGAATGGTTGTCTTAAAAAATTCTCAGTACAAATCTGTTTGCCGTGTGCTGATACTGATGTTAGAAGTCTTACAGGTTTCTCTAGGAGCAAAGTTAGGGCAGTGCTGAGTCCGTCCAGAAAAGTCTATTTTCAGTCGCCCTTGCTGCTGCTGTCGAGCTGTAGAAGCCGACTTAGATGTTCCTAAGAGAGACAATGTTTTTTAGAACGTGTTAGTAACTTTTCTTCTAGTCTGGTATGGAAGTGTTTCATTTCAGGCCTCCCTGCAAGTATAGCTTGAACCATTGTTTGCAACCCTGCACCCCACAAAAACCCCCACACCCCTTATTTTTATAGAATGGCAGCCATTTGAGTTGAACTATTAAAGAAAATAACGTGACTTAATAATATATATGTATTTCAACTTCAAGCAACTATTAATGTTTATTTTTTGGTACTTTCCAGAGACACATGGAATCACATTTAGAATTCAAGTCAGCGTGAAAGAACTGCTGGATACAGATGTACTTTTGAAGCTGTTGTTTCATTTACCAGTCAATTATCCATCAACTCTACCAGATATTTCCGTTAACTCAGACCAGCTTACAAGGGCCCAGTGTATGGACGTGAAAGATAAATTACTTGAACAAGCAAAGAAGCATCTTTCTGAACCCATGATACATGATCTGATTCTTTGGATCCAGCAACATCTTAAATATTTCATTAAGCAATCAGCAACAGTTTGCAATGAAAAAACTGCTTTGTCAAAAGGAACAAGCGCAGAGGATGGTATCTGGATGCTCCTTTTGCATTTAGATCACATGAGAGCAAAGGCAAAATACGTCAAAACTGTGGAAAAATGGGCTTCAGATCTAAGGCTGACTGGAAGACTGATGTTCATGGGCAAGATAATATTGATTCTTCTTCAGGGTGACAGGAGCAACATTAAGGTGCAGGAACAATGAATGTTGACTAGGTCTATTGATTTACCACTGAAACCTATGTGTCTGAATATTTTGTGTGTGTTTTTCTAAGATTAACAATTTTGGAAGCAGACTGATCATTAGCAGAGTAGGAAGGCCCAACAACTTCATTCTGTGTTTAAGAAAAAGAAGGAATTTTGTGAGAAAGAAACCAGTGATACCTGTGGCCTGTATTGCTTAGCTTCCTGCTGTAATTATACCCCTGTACTCCCTGTGTTTCCTGACTGTAATATGCTTAGAGTCTGTCTCCTGTGTTTCCCAAGTACCCCAGAAAACACAAAATTCGTGATGAGAAATTAATAACAGACATATTTCTAGCTCATTACTAACTAACTCCTTCCTTGACTTAGACCACATGGTGCTCCTAGCGCACGTCTGGGCTTTGAACTTCTTGTCTGAACTTACAGACTCCCGCTGCGTTAGGCAGGTTTTTGTGGTGGTGATGGAGGAGAATGTTTTGGCATTTCAAGCTTGTGTTCTCTAGGTCTCTTTAAGACCGCGCTTCACTTTGGGCTGATGAATAGGAATAGTCATGGACTTTGTGGGATGGGGACTTTCAAACTTTGATTGCTATGTTCTGAAAAAATCCTGTATGTTTCATATAGATTTTTGCATTTTACTAAACTTCAGAGATACCAGGTGACATTTAATATTTTGTTCTTTTTTGTCATTTAGGAGTATTTGATTCTTCAGAAAACTTCTAAGGTAGATGTGGACTCAAGCGGAAAGAAATGCAAAGAGAAAATGATTAGTGTGCTGTGTGAGACAAAAGTACAGTCACAGCATAAAAGGTATAATTTAGTACTGTTGTGGATAGAAAAGTAACAGAATCGATAATTACATTCTGACAAATCTAGGCATATTCATGAGTTTGCCTTTTACAATGTAGGTTTCAGACGTTTGAAGTCAAAGAATATTCAACAATGGACGAGCTACAAAAGGAATTTGAAACTGCAGGACTTACAAGTCTTTTCTCTGAGTGTGTGCCTCCTCTTCTAAAATAAAATTGAAAGAAAACGCTGGACTCTTCGACCAAAGCAGTAGTTGGCTGCAGATCCTGATGGAAGATAAAAGGACTGATTTGGCAAAGGGCGTTAAAGATTTTCTGCAAAAGATGCCGGAAGTAGCCGTCTTCTTGAAAGAAGGAGAAGGCAATTGATACCTTGAGAACTGATAATTTCTTGACATTTATGTATTGGTAATTTTTTCCAAGGAATGTGGAGTTAATTGTGGCACTTGCATGGCAGGCCTGAGAGACTGGGAAGAAATCATGTTAAAGTAACAGTCTTCTAGATAGACTCTGTTTTGCAAACCCTGTTTTTCAATGTTTTGTTTTTTATCTCTCATGGGAGTGGTTTTTCATAATGGCCTGCTAGAAAGCATGATTAATTTTGCTTTGAAAGCTTATATGAAGATATTTCTATAAAAAGCCTAGCAAACAGAGATTTGAATATGTGAGGACATCATATACTGAATATCCCTTGGGTGTTCATCTGCTAACTTCTCCATTTATTTGACTGTAAGTGCTAGACTGTTGATTTAAAGGAAAAGCTCATGTCACTTGGGGCCTGAAAAAACTTAGAAGTGTCTTTTTGAATGTTAGTTTTTATTCTAAAATGTGTAAAAACACCCGAGTGCAGAATTTAAATTAATTAAAAAGCTAAGGTAAAGCCAATTGTAATGTTTTCTTTGATAGTTTACAGATTCCTTTTTGCACGTTGTCTGGTTTTACTGTCTGTGCATCTTTAGATATCTTGATTCAATTAAACTGTTAGAGCAGTATATACACAGACTTCAGTCTTCTGTCTCTCAAGACTTCTGTCAAGTCTTCTGTCACTTGAGAAGCTGGTAAGTTGTGACTCCGTATTACAATTTCCCTACCTTTAGGGTTTGGGGGTTTTTTTGGTTGGTCAGTGGCCTTGGCCAGCTTATACACTTGTTTTTTTTATCACCAGTGTTTTACTTCAGTATAATGTTACAAATTACGTACATAATTTTTACAAATTGAGTTGTGCAAGTTCTGTTTGCCTAGGGAGAATTGGATACTTATTTCTTACAATTATTAATGTCCTTTGGTTTCTGTTTTACCCGATACCATTCCCTAGCAAGACTAGAGAAATTGTCCAGTAGTAAAAATTTTGAAGTCACGAGTTTCTCAGTAACTAGCGACACCGTTTCAACTGACTTTAGCAGGTGGCTGAACATGTGCTTTGCTGTTCTGTGAAGCCAAATGTCTCACGTATTCTTTGTTAACTGAATAGATTTGATCAATTCAGAGTGAATTAATTTATCTCCGTTGTACCGGGGGAAGACTGGTACAATTTAGTTAGTTCCCGTGGTGTGGTTTGGCAGATCATTACGCAAGACATTTGATTTCCAGTTTCATACTCAGACCATGAGATCATACCTCTTTCTGTACATACACCAGAAAAGCAGCTAAAGCAAACTATTAAGATTTTTAGGTTTTACTGTTTGAGATACCGAATGTATAAAGGGTTGTAGGCTATTTGAGAATTTCTGAAGTTTTTAAGGAGTTTGGTAAATTTCCTAATATGGAGTGTCTCAAATACGTACATTGCATGTTATTTTATGCACCCAGGCTTATTTAATGAGACAGTAGCAAAAGCTCTTCTTAATGAGTCTTTCACGTGTAGCACATATAGTACTTCAGGCACAGCAGAAAACAGACTGGGTTAAACAGGTTTCACAAATCTGTTCTGCATTATTTTGAAATGGCTTCCTGAGAGAAAGGAAATCTAATTTTCTATCTTTTTAAATGTATGCGGAGATGAAATTTTACTTTTATAAAGAAGAATAAACCACAAGTATCTTTACAGTATTAAAATAACATGTATTTTAAATTGCAGTTTTCAGAATTGAGCTATTTCTCAGTTGAAATACCTATGTTGAAAAATGGGGTGTCAGTGGAGTATAAAGTCTGGAAAAGACGCAAAGGCTCCTCTCTCCTTACACTGGGCGATAGATCTGACAACTGTCAAACCTGAGAAAGGGCCTGTGCCTGTACAGCGTAAGAAAGCGTGATCTGTGTGTCTCTGCAGAGCTAAATCTTGTAAAGTTTTGCCAGAAGGATTTCGTGTCCTCAGCCAGATCTTTGCTTTAAAACGCTCCACTGTTCTGGAAGGAGAATAGTAAGGCACTTCAGCACCACCTGTATCACAGTCTTGGCCGTTAAAGTGTAGCCGGGGCCTTACCCAGCGTGCATATAAATGAGCGGTATGTTCTTGCTGTTGATTTTGGGAATTGGGTTGAGTAGCGGACCTGGTCGTGTGCTCTCACGTGGCGTGTGACTGCAGAAATAATGGAGGCAGGCAGTTGTGGTCGTCTTTCTTGCAAGATTAGATGCAAACTCTCCAACTTTTTCCTCCCTACTGTAAAAGCCGCTCTAATCAGCTGCGTAAGAGAAGCCATTTGTAGGGTCAGTGGTTGCCGGTTGCACTTGGATACAAATTCACGTATTTTCTTAAATATTGTTGCTTGATGCCTTCGAGGTTCTTTAGTCAGAGCTCGCCTTCTGCAACAGGCAATTAAAAAAAGTAAAAAAAAGAGCAAATGACAATTGGGTAAGCTGCAGCCCTCTTCTGGTCTGTGCTCATCTTCTTGCCAGATGAAGTTGTGAGAAGTTAGGTGATTTCTGTATTTCGGGAGTTGTAAAAAGCAGTTTGTACCATGGATTTTTATCATAGTTGCCTGTGTTACTCAGTAGCTTACATTGGACAAATCACCAAGTCCAGGGTAGGAAAAGACTGTGGGTTTTTTGCTTGGTTTGATGTGCTTCAGGAGAATTACAAATCTGATCAGCTTGATACTGTTCAGACAGCAGAGAACATGAAAACTGATGTCAGTCTGATTCTGTCAAAGCAAACGCTTTTCCCTACCCGTCAATCAGTCACTTATTTTGAAGGGTAGGAGGATATCTTGTGTTCAGTCAAGTAAACAATATTTGTAAAGGTTGTTCTTTTGGAAGGATGTTGCAGCCGTCAGTTAACTGATGGTTTGTTTGCATTTACTGTAAAAAGAGATGGGCACGCCTGTGAGCTCCGGGGGCACAAAAGTCATCGAAATGCGTACTGCGGTGCATGTTCCACCCTCCAAGGGAACTGGAGCAGACACAGAAGACCAAAACACAGGGAAACAAAGTCAAAGCTCCTGAGAATTGTTTAAGAATGCATATCCGTGTCTAAAAAGTTAGTGAAGTGTATATAGCTATCGCAATCAGACAATTCAATTGCAAGGAAAAAAGAAATCCACAAAGGAAAAACGGTTTAACAAATAAGAAACAGGCTTTCTTCTGGCCGTTGTATCATAAATAGTTCTTCGAACAGCATGGTTAGGAAAGCCTCGTTTCCCGTGGACTTTCTTGTTTCTAAACAATTGCACACATGAAGCCTTTCTTGCAGAAGACACATTCATGATGGTGCTCTCCCAGGCGGGTTCCATGATGGCTGATACTGGTTGTGCTCTCTGCATAAGTCCTTAAAGTATCAATAGCATTTTTCTTCTGTGCTACTTGTTTTCATCAAAGTTGTAGGAACTTGGTTTCTTTCAGGCTGTTAACCTCTGATTCTAATTGAAATGAGCTGAATTCAAAAGTTCTAGAAGAATTTTGTAGTATAAATATGCGTGCTTCCGTACAGACAGCACAGCTGCATAACTGTAGTTTCTTTTGAAAACCAGCCCAAAATGAAAGCTGCTGCAATAGGGCTACTTGGAGAATCGAGTTTTTAGGACAAAACCAAGGTTTGATTGGTCCTTCTGAATCCCTTGCCTTATGAGGCGTGAAGAAAACAAAAAATCAATTAAGAGAGAAGGAAAGATACATAGAAATCGGAGCAAAACGCCAACCCCAACATCAGCCCTATTGGCACGGTTGGTTTTGCACAAAGACGTGGGATCTGAGGCATCCGTTCTGCCCCCGAGGAGACGCGCTGGCCCCGCAGCAGGGCGTGCTGGACCGCAGTCGAGCCAACGCCTGGGGTGGGCACCCACGGCCGGTCGCAGAGCGGCGCGGGCTGCGTCGGGCGGGTTGGCTGGCGAACGGCAGGCGTTGGCCTTTTCTGCTCCTGTCGTGGGGTGTGCGGGGGTTGTGTGCCGGCAGTTTCCGAGGGGCGAGAAGAGGGGTGCTCTGGTCAGCTGAGGAGCGCGTCTCCCGTTACCCGAGTGTCAGCTGAAGTAACCGAAAGGGCAACGTGAGATCCGGGTCGTGTTTGCTGTTACGTGGGACATCAGGTCTTGCGACGTACGCGTGCTGCTACTACGCAGAGTAGTGACGGTGGAAACAAGCCCGTGGTGGGGGCTAACAGAGTAAATGACTCAGTTCTGCCAGAAATCAGTCTTTCCGCAATTTCGTAGAATCGTTACTGACCGCCGTTGTGGCCAAGGTCTGCAGACAAAACCATCTCTTGTCTTGGTAGAGGGAGGAGCAGGGGTAAAACTCCCTTTTCTGTATTAATCTTTCAAGGCATTATTTATAACATTAATAGGTGCTATTTATATTTAAGGGTTTTTATTATCGTCTCTTGGAAAGGAGCCTGTGTGAGCAGCACGTACTGTGAAGCAGCCTGCCGTTCAGGAGAAGAGCATGACCGCAGAGGAGGTAATAGAAGTTCCAGAGGAGGAAAACACTTCCAATGGGGGACATCAGCAGTGTTGGGAATTCACCAGCTTGTCTTACTTACTTAGTCTCATTAAGATTATAGTTCTTGCCTCCTGCCCCCCATTTGTTATTTGCAGTTACTGTAAGAACACATAGATGACAATCCTTGACGTATCGATTGAAAAAAATGGAAAGTAGATTTCGTTGTTTTGTGAATAAGGCTAATTTTTGTGGTTTTCTGGTTCTGTCTCATTTTCCTATAGGACTATTTGTCTCTTGTTTCTGTGTGAATGACCCACAAAACCCACTGAGATTGGTGTAAATTGTGTGCAGAAGTACTGTAATGAGCCCAAAGAAACTTCATAGTGGGAAAAAGATTTTGTTTACATTGTTTCTTTTAAAAACAGTTTAATAAACCCTATAGATGGATGATTTAAAACCTGGTGTCCCTTGGTTTGCTCAGCATTATCTGTGGAAATGC